TATTTTTGAAAACAAGGAACAGTCTGAGGCATTGCATTATTTATAGTTTTTCAGGAGAATGGGGACGGAAGGAAGAGGGAGAAAAATTAGATTGGTGATATAAAAACATGTCTTTTTTGTAAGTATGATATGACGAAACAATGCTAATCGCTACTAGAAAGCATATATGATGCATACATTACTAAGCACTTTGTAAAATAACAGCAGTAACATTCTTGACCTACGATCAACGATTCTCAGTCTTATACTACAGTCTGGATTTCTACATTTGTTGATATGCATTTGAACATCTGCCTATAAAACTGATTAAGTTAAAAAGTAATTATTTTTCCTAGTTCTGAACAGATAGGTAGTATTCTAAATGGAAATAATCTGAGAAATGCAAACACACACACAGGTACCCATGCACAAATTTTATTTTATGTAGGATTTTTTTTAACTACTAATTGAGAAAAGTGCTTGAGTAAAGATTTTATATAAGATTGTAAGGGTATTTTTAAAAAAATATTTTAAGCATTAAAAGTTCACTTTTTACATGAGCAGCTATGCAGATGCACATTTTTCAGAAAAAGGTAAAATTATGTAGAATGTGATTAAAATTCTGAAAGGTGAATTAAAAACAGATGTAGCTGAATTGCAATCTGTATATTTTTGAGGCAAGAGTAGTTTGCTGTCAGGGGTGTGAAAAAAAATTGCATGCATAGAAATATTGATCCTATACTTGTCTTATAGCTTACAGTAAGTACATGGTAGAATTGTCTGAAACTGAATGTTAATTGGACAATTTAAAAACTTTTTTTAAAAAAATGTTTACATGCATTTCCTCTGCAATCCTTTCTTTATATTATGTCCATCCAGGTAAAATAAGAATTAAAAAGTAAATAAGGAATAACAGTATAACAGAATAACAGAGTTAGAAGGGATCTTGGAGGTCTTCTAGTCAAACCCCCTGCTCAAGCAGGAAACCCTATACCATTTCAGACAAATTGTAGTACAATCTCTTCTTCAAAACCTTCAGTGTAGGAGCACCCACAACTTCTGGAGGCAAGTCATTCTACTGATTAATTGCTCTGTCAGGATATTTCTCCTTAATTCTAAGTTGATTCGCAATTATTTTTCATCCATTGCTTCTTGCCCTGCCTTCAGGTGAATATCATCATTAAATTTAGATACATTTCTCAGCTGCAGTTTTGCTTCTAAACATATGGAATCATTGTTACTGCTGTTATTTTTATATATTTTTATCACCTACACAATTACTTTATTCAATTTGCATGACCTCTCAGAATTGTATGTGAAGAGAGTAGCTGTACAAATAAAATCAATCAATACAAAATATCAACCAGTCAATCAGTCAAATTGATGTCTGGTTTTTAATAGCTACTGAGAGCTATGGAAAGGATAAAATCTTGGGTGTACTTGAGTGTGGGCAACAGGTCACCAAGATTTTATTTGGAGAATAGAATGAAAATATAATATGAAGTGCAACTAATAACTATGAGATGACTTTTAAGGATTTGTTATTCTTATTGGTAATTAATAACTTTCAGATGTTTTGGATCATTATGTCTGTAATTGGCTATGATAGTTGGGATTGAAGTCTGAGACTGAATCATAAAATATTTGGAGGGCATCTGATTGGCTATGCCTCATTTATGGAGTTGAAAATGTGATCTACCTGTCGGTTTCCAGATTCTTATGCTGTTTCTGCTGAGTATGTGTGAGATTGGAAGCTAACACTACAACATCCTTCCTTGCCTGAAAAAAAGTAGACTAACTAGCTAGCAGTCTGCTTCTTTCTTCTGTTTTTACAATCCACCTGTTTATCTCCTATAAATACAAGTTGAGATATTTGAAAACTAGTTGGGGAAGGCAGGGAGAGTGCGATATAACTGAATGAAAATATGGGCAAATGAAATCCTGGGAATTCCCTTCTAGAAAAGGAAAGCATTGTGAAACTGCCATATATTTGAATGACAGAATGAATGATGAAGAAAGATTGCACTTGAAAAGATTGAATTTGAAAAGAAATGAGGGAATATCATTGGACTATCTACCGGATATTATTGTTAGCATCTGAGTGACCAGTAAATTGGTGTGAATTGGACATTTTTATTAGACATACAAACTTTATTGTGCCATAAAGTTTGTTGTGCAGAAAGACTCTTATTTTGTATACATTTTGTAGTTAGTTTGAAACAATTTCTTAAATTTTCTGTCCAATTGTAATGTCTAACAGATAAATGGACTTTTTTTCACAAGGGTTGGTGCAAAAAACATTTCCCAAGCTTATAGATTTTAGCATAAGCAATGGGAACATTAGTATCTAATGCAAGAGTTGGAAGTAGTAGTGTGCTGTCCTAATTGGGTACAGGATGTTTGTTTTGTAAAGGCTATACCATGAAATGGAAATGCTAAACACTTTGCCAGGCTATTTTGTAAAATATACTTTTTTCTAAAGAGATTTCTTTCTTTCTAAATAAATAAAGAACAGAGGAACAATTGCCAGTTCGTTATCTGATCTCTAGAACTTCGTGTTAACACCAAAGTTTAGTGAAACATGCGCAGGATGTTGTTTTAAAAACCCGAAGATGTGATAGGAAGAATATATGTAACATCAAAGAATAAGCTTGTTATATTTCTGAAGGATGACTTCAATGAGTCTAAGTCAAATAATGGACACTCATTTTTCTCTTAAATGTGGCAAGTGTAGTAGTCTTGGAGTTTCATTACTTGTATTTTAAATCTTTCTTTCAATATATGTACATATATCTTTTTCATTATAGAGATTTTTCCCTCCAAAGTCTGACTCTGTGATTCCCTGCTGGGTTTATTTCATACCAATGCTGAATAATTTTGAATCTAACCAAATTCTTGTGCTAAACCAATGTTCTTTACCATTGTACTCAATGGATCATACATTTTACCTCTACAAAAACACCACTATTAGTATAATAAACAACTATTACATTTTAAAAATATTTACTTGCTCAGGTATAATGAAATTATAACCCTCAATTTAATTATAATTTCAAGCTATCAATTTCTTTTTTATTTATCATTCATGTTTGAAACAAGTGAAGTAATGAAGTGAAGTGAAATTGCTCATGTACCCAAGACATCTGTGGGGGAGGGAGGGGCAAGGGAAGGGCAAATGACAAAGAGAACAGTTATATTAAGACCTAACTGAAAGGGACAAAGCTTGAGTAGTGATACAATGCTGTTTTCCTTATTTTGATGAATGTTCTTGATCCAGTAGATTTCTTTCTTTCTTTATGCATTTGCAATTTATGCCTTTGCATGTACAACTACACATTGTGAATGAATACAATGAGATTCCAGGTCAACTGTTTTGTGTGAATACAGATGATATTGAAGCATCTAAATATATTGAACAATGTCTTGAAAAAACTTAATTAAATGGAAACTTACTTATTAATAAGACCTTACATGGCCAAATGAAAAGAATGCCAACATTAAATGTTTAGCTGAGTTGTAAAACTGCCATTACAATGAACTATCTTATGGGATTACCATGAGAATAAATATTGTAATGACTTTTTCTGCGTTTATGAGTAAATAACATTTTTATTGGCTCCTGTTTTGTTTAGCTAATCTAATGGATCTACTTATTAAAACCCTGAGTGAACTAGAAGATAATTAATACAACCTTGCTCACTTTGTGCTTAGATCATTTGTCTATTTTTCTGCAAAACACATGATATAACCATTAACCCACTCATGTTTCCCAGTGAGGGAATTTATTTCAGGCCAATTCAATATAATTGCTATTGAAAGTTGGATCAGACCACAGAAATACATGGTTTTGCACAGCTGCTGTTTAAACAATAATACTGCTGCTTAATAAAAAGTATTATAAAATATACTTTTATAATACTTTATCCCAGCAAAATTTTAATCCTAATGTTTAAGAGGAAGGTTCAACTCTCTGTATGTAAAATTAATATCAGTGTATAATAATTATAACATTATTCCCATGAGTCAAGTGCAATTAACAAATTTCAAAACAAATAACAAAGACTAGAGGTCCATTTTTTTGTAGTGTCTAGAATTATCCAGCCATTGCTATGTGGAATTATCAGAACAGTAATCACAACAGATTTGATGTCTTCTCAAGCATAGTTGGATTATGATAGCAATTGCCTTAAGCTTAAATCATTAATGGGGACCTAAATTAGTGAAACTGTAAGACTACTTTCCAACAAAAATATCTCCATTGTTTGGTGGATGGCCTATATTGTCCATCCCCCCACTGGTGTCATGTTGGGTTTTTAATTATTACTGGCAATACTTTCCAATAAACATATCCGGAAGAAACTAAGTTGGAATCACATCAGGTATGCTTATATATCAATAGATTGAAAATTGAAGATGTATCTGTTTTGACATACATAGGTGTTATAGACATAAACTGAAGATCAAAGATGTTATGAACATCTAGATCAGATCAAGGTTTTATCTAATGCAGTCTATTCTGTTCAATAGGAATGATCACCTACTCATACTTTATACTTATCAGTATAAGAAATAAATTGAAAATAGTTTTCATTATTCTCTGATGTTTTAAATATGCCGTATTGTATTAAACTAATTATCAGAATATATTTATGTGTGTGTCTGTGTGTGTGTGTCAATACTAGCAAGTCTGTTAAAAATGAATATTGAGATAAATATCAAAATATCTTTAAGTTTCCCATCTTTCAGGGAAATATAAAAGTGTACAAATGCAAAACTCGGTCACTGCTATTATCCTGCTGCAAGATTAACTATCCTGGGTCCAAGGGGTTTTGGACTATGGCTTTCATAATCCATAACTGGCATGACCAAATATGATAAGAACATCAACCCTAAATTCAAAAAACTAAAATCCACAAATTCAAAATTTTGCCAATTAAAAACAAAATGAAACAAAAACAGACTCATAGCAGATTTGGACATAGTCTTTCATCTGGTGATAAATGTGCTTTCTGTGAAACTAGGCCTGAGCTCTGTATGCTACTGGAAAATGAGACCATTTTTGAAATGGAAGACACTGAGTCCCATCCACCTCTTCTGCCCTATCAGAAGGTAATATCTGCTTTTTTGTTTAATTGTCTCTCATATGAAAATTTAGTTAGGGATAGCTTGTTCACTATGGAATACAATATTTAGGTTTTAAAACAGTATAGAACACTGTGATCTATACACTGTGAAGATACACTGCATCTTCCTTCCTTCCTTCTTTCCTTCTTTCCTTCCTTCCTTCCTTCCATCCTTCCTTCCTTCCTTCCTTCCTTCCTTCCTTCCTTCCTTCCTTCCTTCCTTCCTTCCTTCCTTCCTTCCTTCCTTCCTTCCTCTCTTCCTCATTACTCTATTCCAGTGAGACATTACACATTACATTTACAAAGTCCTGATTTGGCACATAACCATATATCTACAATAGGAACCTGCAGCTATGTTTTATCAAAGCCATTTTTAATTAATAAAATAATAGGGTAGAGCTTCAGTATGCCTCAAGCTCTACATAGAAAAATTTAGTTCCTGATCTCACAAGAAGCTTAAGGACTATTTATATAGATCTGTGTAGTTCAATTACAATAATTATCTACTACTGGCATTAACATTACTAAAGCCGTACTGACATCTGCCCTCAAAAGACTTGTCAACGCTTGAAAAATATAAACAAGAAACCAACCAGTTAACCTACCTTTCTGCACACTGTTTCTCTTTTTATTTCTTAAAAACTGTGTTTTGCTGAACGAAGTACATTTTGTATTCTAGCATAGTTACTTTAATAAAAAATAAATAGCTCCCCAACTTGCAAAAATGGTATTCTTCTTGAAGCAAGCTTCCTTATTTCTTTCTTTAATATATGATTGTTTGATTACCAAATTCTTGCTCCAAAAATATTACATCTGTGTACTAAACTATTTGATGAATGGCACTTATTCATCAATAATGGATTGATTTATTCACTAATAATGAAATGATTTATTCCGTGATTTTGCTACTTTTATTTATTATTTATTGCTATAATAAACTTGTTTCAGAATATTGCTGTATTTGTGAAGCCTTATAAATTACAACAATTGCAAAACAAAGTATATATAAATATATAAATTATTGGCTTGTATTCTCTCCTAGAATTTAAGCACATCTTGATTTTCTGGAGTTTGCAATTTTATTAATCTTATTTAATAAAGTTTCTAATATATCTTATTTTTTTTAAAGCACTTGTTTCTTTTTAAAAAATAGTTGCATAGGAAGATGATTTTCAGAGGGAAAAATTGCAAGTAAATGTTGAATTTTGTACAAGGATTTTGCATCATAGAATGAAAAAAACTGCATGCATTCTTCAGTGCTCCAGAGTGTTATTTTTCTTGCTATAAAGCCAACCTGTTTGCATTGTTCTACACAGTTGGGGTGTTTATGTGCTATATAATTACACTGTATTATTCGAGTAATTATACTGTATATTCCAGATCAGAACTGAAAAACTACCCAATCAGCAGTGGGTGACTGCTATGTTGGCTTACTATACTACAGACCCTCGGTATCAGCAACTCTTCATCAATCTGGTAAGAGTGAAAGCAATTCTAAAAGCACACATTTCCTTTGCATACAATGTGTTTGTTATATCTTCTCTTCTGTTTATGACGGCTGTGTCAGTTACACTGATTTACATAAACACTGCCAATCCTGGGACGATATACTCTCAACAAAAGTAACTGAGTACAAACAGCATTCCTGAGTTTTAATTCATATTATATAAACATAACAGATGTTGATACAATGAGCCAACAAAGGGAAAAGAAGGAAAGAAGAAAACAACCATTGCATGTGGGCCAGCAATTAAAATGTTCCAGATTATCAAAAAGATGCAATGTTAATAGAACATATCCTTTAAAACTCAATATTTGATTTCTATGCAACCACGAAGACCTAGTATTCTGCACCAATTTTTTTCAGTTTCTTTGACCATATTTCTAGTAATATAGGAATGAAAATCAGGGGGCTGATAAATAAATAAAAGAAGAAGAATCACGCCAGTCTGCCTACCCCTCTGCAAAATGTGCTATTTCTTTAAATGTAATTTTTATTGAAGGAGATAAAAACAGTACAAATACTAGAAAAGAAAGAAAGAAAACAAGAAAGAATGGTGAATAAATTAAGGAAAAAATAGAAATAGAAAAGAAAAAAAAATTCCAGAAAAACAAGTGGCTTCTGATCTTTTTTGATTGTGGTTGTAAATGCATTTATATTTTACTCTCTCTATCTAAAGTCACATCATAATTACCTTCTTTCCATAAACTATTTTTTCCAATCCTCAAATCCACAAATCATTTCTCTTTTGTTTCAGCATAAAGTCCATAAGGGTTTCTACTTACTGATAAATGTAGTTATTGATCTTTCTCTATCAAACAACTTATTTTTTTTTCCATCTTCCAATTGGCATGTATTTTCTATGGTTGCAACATCCTGGGATCAAATGATCGCCCTCTGCAGTCTTCCCAATCTTGACAAACAGTCAGTTGGAGAAGCAAGATTGACTTAATGACCACGTGATTTTTCTAACCAGTCTCAGTGATTTGTTTAACAACTGTCGCCAAAAATGATCATACAATTGTGTACGACTTACTTAATAACCACCTTGTTTAGCAACTGAAATTCTGGTCCCAGTTTTGGTTGTAATTGTTTTTATCACTTTAAACTACCAATGAGATGTTGTTGTCGTTTTTTTTTTTTTTTAAGTTTCAATCTTTTTCTCTTAATCTGTTCTTTACTTTATCTTTCAGGATCCATATGTAAACAAATCAGCAGTATCAGTTCAAGCTCATTTCTCACTGCAACGCACATACATCATATTTCGGTCTCTGGGTCTTCGTCACTTAACAGTAGTTGATTTGCAAAATAAAGTTGTTGGCATAATCACTAGGAAAGATCTGATATCCTTCCAAGTAGAAAAGAAACTGGGATCCCAGAAAGCATCATCCCAACCTCACTCAGATGATGCGCTTTTAGACTAGGAAATACCTCAAATGAAGATTGAACTAATCATCAAACATTATTGTATTCTTTTTTTGGTGATAGTGGTGGTGACAGTAGACTTAACATTTTTTCATAATGAATGAAAGAAATATATAAATTGTTTATATTTGAAGATCTTAAATTGTACTTTTTCAGCTCAAATTATACCTGGCTAATGCTCAATTCCCACTGTAACTGTTTTACAACAAATGAATGAATGAATGAATTTTTTGAATTTATAATCTATGTTAATCACATGCTTGTTTGCATGTGAATCTAAGATAGCACATATTATTATTCTATACCAGGAGAGCCTGAAGTTGTATGAAGTGAATGTAACCAGAGACTAGTGAGAACTCTTATATTGCCTTTTACGAATGAAAAGAATTACCACATATATATATAAACCTGGAATGGCAGGAGAAAGTATATACATTTTTTCCCTTGGATTATTGACATACCTAGGCTCTGATTCCTATATACTGCAGTAGGCAGATCTTATACAATAATTGGTTTCATTCTTGTCTTCAATAAAGTATCTTCATTAGCTGAGTTGTGTCCAAGATTCTACCACAGACTAAACTGTTAAATGCTGAAAAAAAAAAGCTTTGAAAGCTGGAGAGCCAAGGGTTGTTGTTATTTTGAGCTGAAAGATTATATTATGAGTGTATAAAGCTTCTAAAAGTGTTTGGTGAAGTCTACCTTGTACATCAGAAGGTTATCACAAAATTGTAATGCTTTAATATGATAGAGAAGAAACTAATTAAACACAGGGAATTAATCATGTATACTGTATACATTTCTTTTATTAAAACTAAATTGTCATTAAATTTTTGTTTTGGTCTACCATTATTTTTAATATGGCCTTCACAAGCCTTTAGACACTAAATATATTCCTTAGCTTAAAAATGTTATGTATCACTGATGTAAAAAATTCAGAAAATCAGCATTGCTATAATATGTCACAATATATATGAAGAAAATTGGAAAACAATCCAAGATGAGTTTGGGAAAGAATGGAGCAAAAGATTATCATCATGTTGGCTTAGGGAAGAAATCAATAATCTTTACTTATTGAAAAATGAAATACTTTCCCCAAATACTGCAAATTAAGTTATTTTTAAAACACATATTGGTAGATCATCATAAAACAATTTTATACATACATACATACATACAAACATACATACATATCCTGAATGTAAATAGCACAATTTGATTAATCGCTGCTAGTGAGATGAATGTATTAACATAGCAAACTGATGCTAGCCAATGACATTTTATAGCAAATAAAATGTATAAGATCTAATATTTTTGATATAAACTGACATTCTTTATATTACATTTTTGGGATAGTAATGATGAAAAAATAATTGGTAAAATGATTGATCCAATGCTGAAAATAATGATCAAGAATTGACTGGGAAGTGGACTTTTTATGACATGGAAGTGAAAGCTGAAAAAATAAGAGAGAAAGAGTATTGACAATTTTGAACTTTGGATAGCCAAGAATACAAACAATTGGATCATAGAACAAAGTAGTTTAAACTTGCAAGAATATTATGACTAGCCAAGAAAGAGTTCTGAGAATACCATGGCTGGCCATCTAGGAAAGCAAACAAATGGATCAAATTAATGCAGAGTTCTGAGGCACAAAGATCAAATTATCATATTTTGAACACATTAAATGAAAATCCATCTCCCTTGAGAAGTGGGAGGAAAAGTGGAAGGAAAGAGAAAAGGATGATTAGTAGCAAGATTACAGCAACAATAGGTACAACATTAGAAGAATTAAAGGCCAGATTGGGAATGTAACAATCTGGAAAAGATGTGTCTACAAAATCACTAAGAGTCAAGTACTGATTTGTTGGCACATAATCAACCAATAATTTCTTCTGGCATATTTGTAAAGATATTTTACTTTTTATTAAAAATAACCCTAATATCCAAGCTCATTATTTTTTGTAGAAATTATTCTTAAAATTATTTGGAAGAGGAATAGTTTGAAAAATCCTTGCTCCAAGATTGCGTAGTATGTGAAGAACTAATTTCATGGTTCTTAAAATCTCAGCCAATACTCTGGAAGTTTACATAAGAACAAAATCTAAAAATTTTCCACATGTACTTTCAAAAAGGACTTTAATTGAATAGAGGATTTTTTTCCTTAAAGAGAGTTTTCAAAAAAGTTAATCTAATCAAATGTGGTTATTAGGTAATTAGATTAATGATTTAAAAGCTACTTTTTAAATTATACTTAATAATTATATTATAGATTATTATCTACTTCAGAGATATACTGTGCAATGCATGAAGAGAAAATTGTACTTTTCTCTCACAATGGTTGGATCAAAAATAATTAGAATACAATAGGCTCATTCAATTCAGGAGGCTTAATATTAGGTCATGCATTTACACTAGTTCATAGTTTAATAAGACTTTACCCATTTCTACTTCCTGAACCTATATGTGAATCAGAATTTAGTTATATGCCAAAATGCACTTCTGATTTTTGTGATATAGCTTAGTCTTACAGTGTTTAAAAGTATATACAATATGTATATTAGGCAAAATGTATAGCGTAATGACTTTGGAGTAATGTCTTTTGTTGAAGATCACAATAAAATTGATCTTCAGTGAAATTTGTTGAAACCAGTTTTCTTTAATCATACAATATATTCTACTACAGAAGGATGCTCTTCTGAACTGCAACCATTGCAGTGACCCATGACTCTAACTATATAAATTACTCAGGTCCAAAGGCACTTCTTTTTCTCCCTTAGTCATGGAGCTCTATCTAGCAAGTCACAGATATCCTGTTTTATTTCTTGGCACCTCAAAACATTCACCATTTACTCATTTCTATTTTCCTTACTTTAACCAACCCAACCAACCTGTGGATTTACTTAGCTTATTTAACAGTATTCCATTCTAGAGGCCCATTGCCCCGGTGATCTGTCATAGAGCAAATATTGAAGAAAGCTATTGAGCAACTCAGAGAAGAATAGAAAATTTTATTTGGTCCAACATATGAACAGAAGTTGAGGTGAGGCTGAAGAAGCCAATTTCGTTTGGCCAATTAGATGCGTCCATTGCAGAAGGAGTCCCAGCCACCCTCGCGACACACTCCGTCCAACTCACCATAGGGGACCACGTAGAGACTCTAATGTTTTTTTATAATATATTTTATTTATTTTTTAACATAGTCACCTTAATATTTGGTAAACAGCGTGTTGTCTGGGTTTACATTTAAAAAACATTCACTAACAGTTAGTTTCCATGATGTATAATTCACATAATAGCTTTACTTGATTTCCTCTTTTTCCCATAATGTTCTCTTTAGCCAACCTTAAGTTAATACAATTCTTGTTGTTTTGATAGATAACAATTGGGTATAAATTTTTTTTCTAATATTTCTACAAATAATAATCACATTAATATAATATTTCTTTTCTATCTAGTCATTCTGGTTGCCTCATCATAGATCCTATTTACAGTTCTTGTTACATTTGTTTTTTGCCACAATATTCAAGACATTGTTACTGGTTAAGTTTTTCTCAAAGTTAATTACATTTAAATATTTAAGTCTATTTTTCTCATATAAGCCATCCCAATACTTTTACATTTCTTAAGGAATAAATAAGACTAAAAAAAGAAAAAAGAAGAATAAGAATAAAGAAAAATGCTACTTAAAATACACGTTCCTCCTAAGCTAATATATATTTATTTCCAAAAATTTATATTCTTTTTTACCATAATTAAAAATATGTTTAGCCTTTAAATATTCCATTTAATAAATCATGTAGTCTTTTAACTCTTATTCAAGACATTTTTATCCATTCTAGTTTTCTTAAAGTCAATCACATTTAAATATCTAAAACATTTCCTTTATATAAGCCATTCCAACTTTTTTATATTACTCATATCAAGAAATAAAATAAGAAGAGAGAAGAAAAAAGAATACTATGTTACTTGAGGAGCTCATCCCTCTTAAAATAAAATTCATATCCAAATTCTTTCTATTTCTTTAATCATATTCAAACAGGTGGTTCTTTTTTAAATATTCTTTCTGATAGGTCCCATCATCTATTTTCTTAATTTTCACTTTAGCCTTTTTCTTTTGCTCAGTTTCTTTCTTAATCAATATGTTCTGCTGAATCAAAGAATCTTTCCATATTCTTGTGTTACTGTAGTTATAAAAGGTAAGTCAAGTACAATATCTTTGTGAGAGGCATTTGCCCTTACATGTTTGTTGAAAATATTTTTCTTTCTTTTTCTCTCTGTTTCTCTTATCATTTCTTGTTTCTCCAGTTCTCATGGTTTTCCTCACAACTCTGCAGTCCATTTTGTCCAATCTTTTTTCTTGTCCTCAAATTTGTTTTGTGGTCTTAAAGTATAAATTGTCTTTTCGAAATCCAATATTCACAAGAAAGTGGGGCAGTGGCAAATGATGGAGGGCTGAAAGGGGAGGGGGTCTTTCTTTATTCTTTATTCTTGTGGGTTCTGCCATAGTCCTGGGGGGAGGGGGAAGTCATAGTGTTACAATGTATCCTCTTCATTTCTCTCCATCTGCTTGCTCTTTGAACTATGTCCCTTGATGTCAGCCTGGGGTGAGAAAGGAATGTGCCTCCGGCCATCTGGCTTATCTCTTGCTGTGGAAGAAAAGGGGCAAAGACCTAACGGCCTAACAATCTTGGGAATGGCATCTAATCATCCCCGTTCCCACAGTGGATTCATATCTGGAGATTGGCTTGTTTGAACTGACTGGCTGGACTATTGGGGTGGAGTATGCTAGTTGCTCTTTTAAGCTATTGATTCACATGGGAAACCCTCAGATCCTGCCTTCTATGCCTGCTGCCAACTTCTCCTACTAAAAGTTCTTTTTGGAATGAAGCCATTCCAAGAGTTCTGCTTTCTTGGGAAGAGGTGGGTCCTTACACCAACATTAGAATTGGATAATAATCAAAGGCAAACAAATTGAGTTAGGAGAAATCACTTTGTAGTCTAAGTGCTTTTAATTTTAAGGCTGATCATATAACCCCAGTACTTTATCATGTGACAGGGAGTAGAAAGTGTATTTCCTAGGTTATTAACAAAATCCATCTTTTTGATAGCATATTCTCTCAAATTAAACAGATTTACCATCTCGCATTGTTGTGCAAGATGGGGCACATAATGCTCTTTTTCCTATTTTTCCCACAACAACACTGAGATGAGTGTATTTATTTATTCAATTTCTATAGCTGCCCAACTCAACCAAGTGACTCATGGTGGCTTACAATTCTAAAATTATAAAACAAAAGAGTAAAATAATCCACTAAACAAACAAAGGAATAAATAAATACAAACAGCAGCCATGATGATTAATAAACTAACAGTAAAGTAATGAGGCCTTTAACATATTCCAAGCCACATACCATGTACATAGTCAAGTTTTTAAAGCTTTATGAAAGGCTAACAGTTTGGGGCCATTTTAAACTTTGTGGGGAGAATATTCCATAAGGCAGCAAGTACAGCAGAAAAAGTTCATCTTCTAGTTCCTGTCATTGGACACTCTTTGACTGATGGGACTGCAGCATGCTCAGTCTGTTGGATTGTGTTGGACGGGTACAGATTCTTGGAAAAAGACAGTTCTTTAAGTACACACTTTGCTACCCTGACTGCCAGAAGATAGGCCCTAATAGTGATTCTAGTGCATCTTCATGCCTTGTTTTTCATTAGCGGTGCTCTAGGCATCTCTTAGCCTATTTCCATTGAATTCCATCATATACCATGGGGAGCATTGGGAGCCCTGGGCAAGGAGAGTCCACTTAGTCACAATCTAATCTAAAGC